TATAAAATTATATCAAACTATGAATTCAATGGTTGAATGTAATCATTTCAATAATGTATATAAGAATTCTAATTATAACCTATTATCACTGAAGACTGAATATGTTGATAAATTGTTTTAATGACATGGATGGTTATTTATATAATCCTATATAACATAATATTATTTATCAACATTATGCCTCATAATCTGAATTTGAAATCTCTCTCTGTACATAATTTACAATTTTCTTCATGTTTAAAAATTTTAGTATTTTTTGTTAATTCAGTTTTTAATGGTTATGTTTTTGATTTTTAAATATTTAGCTATACATTATTTACCTGATGATGGTTACACAATAGGGCTATAAAACATTGTGTATTTTCAAGACTCTTTGTGAAATAAACTATGTTTATGAACTGTTAATTTTATTTCAAATTAATTGATTGTCTATAATAAAGTGGAACCTCACTAATAGAAATGTTTATGTTGTTAATATGGGTTTTGGCAGCATTGAACCAGATGATGCAAGCATAAGTAAGAGTAGGACAATAAACTGTGGTATATATTAATTTTGCTGAGTGATTAGATTTTTAATTAATGGGGGAGTGTAATTTATGAAGTATAGTGTTAGCTTTATAATATTTTTAATATGGGCATCCCGTTTAAGTTTAGTGTCTAAGAGGAGTACAAGATATTTGATAGGTGTGTTGGTTCATATCCGGGGTATAGCTTGATTAAGTATTAATATTTCTGAAGGGGTGATTCATTTACAGAGTGTACAGATTTTAGCTTGACATTTATCCATGTTAATTTTAATTTTTCATTTAGTAGTGCAATTTGTATAAAGCAGGAGGTCAGATTGTACTCTTTTTTTTGGCTGTAGTTAAATGTCTGTGACTAATTAAGAATGCAGTATCATCAGCAAAGAGAGCTAAATCTGTGTTGGGAATATCAGAGAGATGTTAAAAAGTACAGGGGACAGACAACACCCCTGGGTCATGCTTGTGCAAACTGAAAATTGTTGAAAAAGTGGAAATAGGAGAAATAGCGGAAAATAGGAGAGAAAGGGAAAAAAATGTTGACGTGGAAAGTGCAATCAGAAATAACATTTTGAATTATTTTGAATAAATAAGTGAGAATTCCAATTTGGAGTAATTTATAAATAAGAACATGATGCTAAATTTTGCCGATGACTTTTTCAATGTCCGGTAATAATACAGTACTATGTTGTTTTTGATGAAAGGAGTTTTCAATTTTTTCTGTTAGTCTTAAAAGTTGATGAATAGTTGCATGCTGACGTGTGTAGCCAAATTGAGTGGGAGTAATAATTTTTTTAGCTGTTGTGAACTGTAATAATCTGTGATGTATAAAGGTTATTTACAGAGTCCTAAATAATTAATTATAAATGTCTATTTCAGATATTGAAGTAGGAATGTTTTTAAGCATCACAGGGAAACACTTTTTGGATGGATCTTGATAAGTGTAAAATTTAATGTTGTTTGATTCAATAAATTTGCGAGTTTCTGAAGTCATCAATAGATGTCAACTGGATTTTCATTGAATTTTTCGGGACTGGTGGTGTATTCATGTTGCACAGTTTTTGTATATATCTTGTATTAATAGTTGATCATTTTTTTCCAATAAGAGTAAACAGAATTTTTACTTCAGTGGTTGAGGGTTCATTATGAGGATCAGAAGTTTAGTGGAAGATGCCGTATCTGAAGATTGTTGGAATTGAGTAGGTTGGTTTAGATTGATTTTGTAGTTTGGTTGAATCTCTTTCTTGAAGAGGAGGTTGATGTCTATTTGTACGAAATGTCTGTAAAAATTATGGAAGGCTGGTTGTGAGTTTGCATTTGTACATATCTGAGAGTAGCTAGATGGACAGATGGTTGTTGAGGATGTTGATTACAGAGAAGTATTTTGAAGTTGATGTATCATGTCTTATGGTAATGACTTATGACGTTTGACTGAATTAGTTTCATGAAGAAGAAGTTGATGTCTATAGGTAATGTATGAAATGTCTGTATAAATTTAGGGAGGCTGGATATTACGTAGCATTTCTTCCAAATCGAGAATAGCTTGAAGTACATTGATGACAGTCGAATATGTTGATTGTAGAGAAGTATTTTGAGATTAATATATTATGTCTTGTGAAAATGAATTTTCAGATGTTGGAACGTTTTCAGGCAAGCTTGAATTATTGTTATTCTGCATTACTTGCAGGTCTTGATGGTACATGGAATTCTAACGTACAATACAGTAGTAATGTACAATTTTAGCATGGCCGTTTAGGAACTGACAGTTAATTAGGTGTAAAATACGTGGTCCTTTTTAAAATTAAGGTATATTTTCTCCGAAAATAACTCGTACAACCTCGATGGAATCTCCACCCTCTGGCCATGCGTAGGTTGGAACTCGTTCCGGCCGAGTTGTGTGGTGGTCTGTCCGCGGGGCCCGCCAGCATGGCGAGCGCGGAGCTGTGTGCGCAGTTGGCGCGCCTGGAGGCGCGCGTGGGCCAGCTGGCGCTGCGCGTGGACGAGGGCAGCGGCGAGCGGCGCCGGCTGGAGGCGCGCGTGGCGAGCCTGGAGGCGTCGCTGGCGCGAGGGCAGCTCGCGCTGGAGGCGCGCGTCTGCAAAGTGGAGGAGCTGCTGCGCCAGGTGGCGGACGAGCTGCGGTTGGCCAGAGCGCCAGCCCCGCCCTCGGGCCCTGCGCCGCTCACGCCGCCTCTGGCCCCCGCATGCCGAGAAGTGCCGGCCCGCGTCGACTCCAGCGGCGCTGAGGGGTCGGCCGGCAGTGGTGCCAACGGCACCGGCGGAAGCCTGCCGGAGACCCTGGCTGCCCCAAGATGTGCCCGTCTAATCGAGAGTCAACCTTCTGGAGTGGATGCTGAGTCCGCGTTACAAGTATCGAGCTTGGCCGGCAGCATTGCCAACGGCACCGACGGAAGCCCGCCGGAGGCCCTGGCTGCCCCAAGATGTGCCCGTCCAACCGAGAGTCAACCTTCTGGAGTGGCTTCTGACTCTGCTCTACAAGTGGCGAGCTTGGCCGGCAGCATTGCCAACGGCACCGGCGGAAGCCCGCCGGAGGCCGTGGCTGCCCCACGTTGTGCCCGTCTAACCGAGTGTGAACCTTGTGAAGTGGCTCCTGACGCGCTGTCCCGCGCGGACGGCGTGACGCCAAGCGAGGCTCCGGCGTCGATCCACGAGGCGGCGGAGCGGGGAGACGTGGCGGCGCTGCAGGCGTTCCTCGACGCGCGCGTGAGGGCGGACGCGGCGGACGCGCGCGGCAACACCGCGCTGCACCTGGCCGCGAGCCGCG